TTTTTTTTTTAGTAATTATCTATGTATTAAATCACACACAAATGTTTATCTATTGGTATAGGTTCTATTTTATTGTAGGTAAAAAATAGATGCATTCTTCAGATCTATTGACTAAGTGAATTTTGAAAAAAATATCAGTTGCCCATGATCTGACAAAGAAAGATATGAATTCATGTGAATAAACATATTATATACCATGAAAAGAGGGCATATACTTTGTAACTACAAATAGTAGGTATTCGAGAAAAATCATCATAATCGTTTAACATATCACACACATCACACAAGTTAAATATTATTATTGTTAAAGTAATTATCTAGTCTCTAATCACACACTTATATAAAGAAGCATCTATATTTTTTTAGTTCTATATTATAGTTGCAAAAAATTTCATTTTTAAAACTAGTCGTCWAGAGACAAAGTGAATTTGCAAAAATTTATCAGTGACCCAGATCTGACGATAAGAGTAGATATGGATTTATGTAACTAAACATATTATATATTATGAAAAGAGGGCATGGTTTAAAATATGTCCTCCAGGCATGCATTCCAATTTTTTCTGTTAAGAAAATCAATATAGATTTAATTTTGAGGATTGATAAAAAGTTAAAATTGCACAGCATATATATAATTATYTGCAATTCAAAAGTGTGATTGATGGAATGTAACAGGTTAAAATAAAAGAGTAAGAAATATTATTTTAAACACTAAAACAATTGTAACACTGGCAATAGCATAATAAACAAACTTAATAAATAATAATATAAAAACCATAATATGACAATATAAATATGACTTAACAGAATATCAAGCCGGTATTAAAACAATATGAAAAACATTCATTTTTATAATAATAAATGAGTGACACCAAAATGTTAAAAATAAAATATGACATCGTACATCAAAYAGCCCCTATCACAACCACAAATTGTATAATTTAATTACCATATGAAAATCAAAGCTTCTACAAATAAGTAATTCAATGTTTAATCGTTTATTTTTATGTTTTATTGTAAATTTTTAATTCAGTACCCAGAAGTAWAAGTACTTTATAGTGGGCTYCATCTAAAAAATCTGCTCTGACATAATGTCATAGATAAATAATGTGATCGGTGTTACTGATGATACGTGTCTTATTATTAAACAAAAATATATACCTATATAGTAAGAATTTTACAGGTACGTAACTGGTAGTTAGTAGCAAACAACATAGATAAACCGGTTAGTAGAAAAGGACATGGTAAAAACGATGAGATAAAAAAAAAAGATGGACACAAGTGAGTGTAGCACTCTATTTTTACATAAGTTGTCTGGTATATCATTGCAATGGATGCGTTAGATTTGTATTAAATGATAAATAATTTTATATCGTACCAAAATGGTTAAAGAATAAATTATGAAAAATAGTTTGTATATTTTGGAATTTCGGAATTTTAAACGTTGATTATTAGGAATCTAAATCGGAAATCTTTACATGTGGACCGATCTCAAATAGATATCATAACAAATTATTCAAATCAGTTTCCTGAAATATTATCGAATTTTTTCGTCAATTGGTAGGATTGAGAAAAAGTACATATAAATGAGCATAAATTGATTAGGTACCGTTCACGTGAAAAGTCRCACATACTAATGATCACTCRCTTATTTTCAAGAAACTTGCATGCGTGCAATTTGATAATTGAATACTTCGAATTCCAGAAAATATTTTCCACCACAAATTCCCTTAACTTTGTTTTTACTGATTTCTATATTATCTACTGGTAGTTTAAAACTTATCAACGCACAAACTAGATTCACTTTCCTATCAGAAGATTTGTTGAAGTAGAAAATCGGAGCATTTTAACAAGGTATCCCAAAATTGACGAAAAACAGAAAAAAAAACTCAACATCACTGTAACACCAATACAATGGAATATACAATTTGTAAAATATATTTTGCAGTTCAATAAAATGAATTATARCTGTTGTTCTTGTGTACTTTTAAAACTGTAATTTTTGTAGCTTATAAGATTCTGAAATTCTTAATTTTATAATGATGTGTGTTTTTTTCAGTCATCAACTTTTAAGATAGTAAACATTTCTAATTTTTTATTTCCACATCTTTTTCTGATTAGACAGTGAATATATTTGATACAGAAAAAAGGTTGAAATTGAAAATTCCCAATTATTTTATAAAAATGTAATTTTTACCGATAATCAATTTTTGTGAAAATCTATATTAGTTTTTTGGTGTACCTATCTCAAAAACTTATTAACTGTAAAAACTTAAAATGTTTACTAAAAGTTAATATGACCATTTTCCATATATTATGAGATGTTGTATGATTGGTWATAATCTTGAACACTGAAAAATGGTTCCTCATAAATCTTTTTAATACCTAGCAGTTCAAAAATGTTATATTATGCTCAAATATAATTTTGTATTTTAAGTTAAGGTTTCGGAAAATTTCATCTRAATCCCCAAAATCCACTAATAATTTTTCCGTTAGAAATTCACAAAATAATTTTCTATGCATATCTAACGCTTCAAAATTTAATAGAAGATTTCTCGTAAGTTTTTCTAATTTGAACAAAAAAGTTTAACGGAAAGTAACGTTATTTATATAAATTTATAATTTATTTTCGATCATGAGTAGTTTTTTTTAAATTATTTAATTTGATTATTTATACAAGTATGTTAAGATGACACAAAATTTCCACTTAAAGTCATTTTTTTATATACAACGATGTATAATTAATTCAAATTTAACACATCCATTACAATACTCGAAAACTACCTACAGCAGAATGTTACTCACTTGTCCACATTTTTTAAAATGTAATTTATTTTATTTCAAATAAGAGCAGATGWCAGGACTATTATGAAAAAATAACTGATTTTAGTAATTATTATGTAAATTTAATTTCACGTGTTTTTCATTGTCGTTTTCCCTAGACTCTGGTACCTAGTCATCGTTTGTAAGGTCAATAATAACTGGTTGATTATTGACGGTTCGTATGCTGCAAATGAAAAAAATAATATTAATTTACAATCCATAACAATGCAATGTATTTATGCCTAATTCTAATTATAAAAATATTAACCTTTGAGCTTCAATCATTGATTGGTAACTACGTCTCAAATCAAGTTTCAATTGTGGCTTGACATTCCTTAACGCCGCTTTAAAGATTTTTTCGGCGCTGAAACTCCCATAGTATGTCAACTCAAATTCAATGCATTGGGACCACAGATCTGCAAGTGAGACGATAAAGAATAAAAGAAGCCATATGCAGACAATATTGTACCACAATTGTGACAATTGTATATAAATATATAATACAATTAACTAGGTCCAATTTTTTTCTGCGACCTATTGAACATTTTTATTGTTTTAATTTTGTTATTTTGGTACCATAATTAAATAATATTATTCTATTGGTGGTATTAAAACACTCAATTATTATTAGGAACCAATTTCCTACAGTGTATAATACTCAGGTCCAGGGCCGTATGCAGGGGGGGAGGATTCAACTCATATTTTGTGGATAATCTTATTTTATCTTATTTMCGTACTCGATCGGTCACCACAAATTTCTATTGAATTGCTAAACTACAATAATAAAATCATCAAACKATTACGATCGCTTAGTTTTAGTCCGTGTTTGGTATTTGAACGGTTATAATATACGAGTAATGAGTGCGATAGTGTTATGGTTATTTACATTTTTATATAAAATATATACATTTTAATATACCTAGGCTATATGTACCTAATTGTATGCGCATATAATAATCAAATACATTTCTGTTCTGWTCATAATACATTTATTTAAAGTTTTATTTATTTTTATTACTACTATTATTCCTAATGTTCCTATTTCCTAAATATACTATTACTTCTGAACACTGAACAAATTACATACATAATGAAGTTTGATTATTTAGCATAATAATTGTCACATAATAAATAATGAGTAAGTAAGGAGAAAT